TGTAATTTTGAGAGTCGATTAATTTGATTAATTCGGTTAAATTAACCTTTAACCGATCGCCGAAATCTTAGTTTTTTTTAACCGAACATTTATTCACCAAACTGAATTGACCAAATTAACCGAATTAATCAAATTGACTGAATTGGCCGATCCGAATGCTCACCCCTAAGTAGAAGGATTAGTATCTTTCCCTTTTAAGTTTAAACTGTTAAGGCACTCTATTTATAGGATTGATTTCGTGACTTTGGAACTGTTTGGACTGTTCACTGATCTTTAATCCATGCACTAAGGAAAGGTTCTAGGTCTCAACAAGATTGTCACTATTAATTTTTAATCCTTCCATTTGAAAATTGGTATTTTTTTATCCAATTGTCCTTCAGGCGAAAGTTCTTGAGCCCCTGGGCGCTATCACTTCTGGCAGCCAGTTCTTGGAACCAGATGGTGAGTTGCAATCAGAAAAATTGTGTTGGGGTGTCTGATATATCATCTTGTTATTAAAAACTTATTTGGGACAGGTTTGTTCCCTAATCATATTCCCAATCCGGAGGACAAGGCAGCAATGAAAGCTATCACTGAAGCAGTCCTAAAAAACAAGGCTGATCTTGGGATCATATTTGATACTGATGTTGACAGGTAATCTTCATCATAGTTTATATACACTTAATATATTTGAGTTGTATTTTAATAAATATGTGATTATTTATTTTAGATCTGCTGCTGTGGACTCCACTGGTCGTGAGTTCAACCGGAATCGCCTTATAGCTTTAATGTCTGCGATAGTTCTTGAGGAAGTAAGGACTCCTTATTTCAGCTGTCTTAAGAGCTGTTGCTTTTATATTGTTATAAATCCCTTTCCTTAATTTTCTTTTTCCAATTTGCTTTGTTCACATTTTTCCTTCAGCATCCAGGAACAACTATTGTTACGGATAGTGTGACTTCAGATGGACTGACTACATTTATTGAAAAGAAACTTGGTATGTTAAAAACAGAAATGCCACTTTAGCGTTCTTCGTACTTGAATATATTAATAATCTACATCTCTTTTAGGGGGGAAGCATCATCGGTTCAAAAGAGGCTATAAAAATGTTATTGATGAAGCTATTCGTTTGGTAAGTGTACAATGGTTTAAGCAAGAAATTGAGCAGGGTGATGTTTCAAGCCCTGTACAATCATTTGGAAGTGTAAATTTGGAAGTTAATACAAAAATAATACTAATACTGCTGGCTAATAATAATTTCAATTGTATATATTCCCAGCCAAATTCTTTGGACAAAGTGCTTGTTGTAGCTCATTATTAGCAACAGATAATTGTTTATTCCAAACTAATAGATGTCTACCAATTCTTTTCAAGGAATGGTTGTGTTCTTAAAAGTTTTTCTTCTGCTCCTAATTTTTGGATTCTGATATTTCCTTTTCTTTGTTACTGGGAGCAATGACACTTTTCTTGTTTACTTGTGGAAAATTGACAATCAACTGATTGCAGTTGTTGTGCAATGATAAAAGCACAGGGCTGTCAATGAGCCAAAATGCTTGCAAGTTACTGAGGCTAAGCATTGAATTGTTTTAGTGGCTCAGCTGAGCTTTGCAATATGCATATGCTTTGACTTGTAGTGAATTGTTAAATAGCATGAGCTATTCCGCCTCTCCTCATAAGGAATGTACAGAGGCATATCGTACATCTTGCATGAACCTTCATTCCAGTTTGATTTTTTTATTGAATTTTTCGATTAATAAAAATTTGGGTTCAACAATGAATTTGATTTTATAAGAGTTCTGTGATGAAAGTGAATCTGTTGCAGTTTGGAGGATGTAGCCAGTAGCAAAGGGCATGCATCTTTTGAGGATCAAGTGTTTGTTAGAGATGAATGGTTGAATTAAGAATGCAAAATTTTGAGAACCAACATTGTTAAAGGGGAAAGGAAAGTTGAAGTGATTGTGATAGGTCCAGAGGTTGGAAATTCTGAAGGTGTGAACATGATTTAGATATCAAACTGGCCTTTCAGTTGAACCTTCTTGCCTTGTGTCAGTTGTGTGACTAAAGTTCTTTGGTTGTTTCCAATTTGCTTTTAGTTCATCAAACACAAGAGTATACTCAGCTTTCGGCTATGCATTCCTGTTACATTACTTCACTTTTATCTTTTGTTGAACTGGCATAGAAAAATGTCCTAATTAATTTAAAGCTTGGATTGCTACTCTTCGTCTGTTTCTAATTGTAAGATCCTTCTAGTTGATTTTTCTACATCAAGATCAGGCATGTTTCAGCCTTTCATGTCATTAACTATCAAACTAAAATAATAATTTCGCTCTCAGAACTCGGTTGGTCAAGAATCACATCTGGCTATTGAAACAAGTGGACATGGAGCTCTTAAGGAAAACAACTGGCTAGATGATGGTGCATATCTCATGGTACGTTTATGTCTAACATTGTGGCCTTACTTCTGGCATATAATTATAATGTTGCCCACTGTTTTACTGAATTTACTTCTCTTAATTGTCTTTTTGCTATTGCAGGTAAAGCTTTTAAATAAACTAGCTTCAGCCAGAGCTTCAGGAATTGGTGGTGGCAGCAAAGTCTTGACTGATCTGGTTGAGGGTCTGCAGGAGCCAGCAGTTGCTGTAGAGTTGAGACTAAAAATTAATCAGAATCATCCAGATCTTAAAGGAGGGTATGGTTATTTATATGTACACGTGTTGAAAATTTTGCAGCTTTTGAAGGTACTAATCAATTAGAACTCCAGATCTTTCCGGGAATATGGCGAGGCAGTGCTGCAACACTTGGAGACCTCTGTAGATTTAGACCCAAAGCTTCAGAAAGCTCCTGTTAACAATGAAGGGGTGAGTTTGACACACATAGATCAATAGTACTTATTGGAAACCAACTTAGCTAGCATTTTTAAGTAATTACATCCTGTTTGGAAAATCAAAATTCGCAAGAACTCAGTTAAATTGAATTCAGTTTTCGTAATTTTCATGTTTGGAAAGGTATAATCGGTGGAATTTAATTCTCTGACGTTTAAAAAATGAGCCAATGTGAAAGAAACAAAATCATATTAAAAGTGGCATGATATTGGAAGAAATCAATTCATTTCATGAAATTAATTCTTTTATGAAAAAGGGTAAAATGGGAAAACAAGTAGATTCATTTAATTACATACCAAAATTGAATTTAATTTTGAAGAATTCATTTCTTTTGTGTGAGTTTTTCAAAGAAGACCCCATATCTATAACTCACACTTGATTTCCCCTATTTTTCTCAATAAATAGTAAATATTTTTCAATTTTTCAACTTAAAACAGGTTCGAGTTTCTGGTTATGGTGGGTGGTTCCTTCTGAGATTGTCACTTCACGACCCTGTTCTTCCCCTTAACATAGAGGTAACTTCATTTCAGTGTCTGCATAGATTATTATAACCGTTGAATATATAGCTACTAATAAAAGTAATCTTTTATCTTAGGCACCTAGCAAAGATGATGCTGTGAAACTTGGACTCTCTGTGGCTTCTGCTGTCAAAGAGTTTCACGCAATGGATACATCTGCATTGGACAAATTTATCCAATCATAATAAGCTGTCGAGTGCCAGATACATCTGTCAGATAGTTTCTTCTGCAAACCCTTTTGTTGCATTAACAGTGGCTTGTCAAGTTTTTCTGTGGTGCTATAATCTCATAATGTGAATGTTATGAGCTATCTCGATTATCCAGTTTAAAACTATAGAGATCCCCAGAAATTACAGAGAACAATACCCTACTTGTGAGAGCAGTGTCATCTTTGTGCATAATGAGACATTCAATTTTTTGGTTCATTATGATAAGCTGAGTCTGTTTATGCTATTCTTTGTGCTGAAACTGCTGATTATAAACAGTATGATCTGCTTAGCTAGCAATCTCTTTTATAAGACATGTGAACTGATTTTTAAAGAGTATATTATACGTTTATAAAAAATTATTAATAATGCTATATTTAAACTCGCTTTCTAATAATATATCTTCTGTTCATAGATTACTTGGTATATTATTTTTAAATTCTCTCTTTTCATTTAATTAAGTTCCCTATAAGTAAAATGTGCATATTCAGAGGAAAATCTAGATATATATATATATATATATATTTCTTGATATATTGTTTTAATCCATCTTTCTATTATCATGTAAAGTTTATTTTGGTTGTTCTTTCATCGTTTATATTACAAATATTTTTGAAACAGACTAATTTGAATTTTATATTTGCTTGATGTTTGTTAATTAATCTTATAAATTTTTAGTACTTTGTTAAAATTTTACTATCAAGACTTTTTAATTTTAATTCCTTAAATAAAATTTTCATATTATTAATAAATATCTAACTTATTAATAAATATTTGATGATATTATTAAATATTTTTTTATTTAATTGTAATCATTTTTTTTCATGATAATTACACTCGTAGTTAACTATAAAAATAAATTTTAATTTATATGTAATAATTATACATCTAATGGGGAAGAATTTTCTTCAAAAGAAGGGAGGGAATTCATTTCCTAGTCATGCATATTTTTTAACAATAGCAGATAAAGTTGCTTTCTAAAATTCTTCAGAAGCAACCATAATTTAAAATGTGCATACAATGCATATTGTCATATTTTGGAACATTCTTTCATCGCGGAGTCAAATTCTCATCGGTACGAGTCAAAGGAATGGCCCCCAGCCTCGAATTTCCATATAAAGGGCACGTCGAGCGTAAATACCCAAAAACAGAAGCTTTACAAAAGAAAAAAAAAAAAAAAAAAAAAAAATGGATACAATGCATATTGTCATTATTTTGGAACATTCTTTCATCGCGGGAAGTCAAATTCTCATCGGTACTTAGTCAAAAGAATGGCCCCCCAGCCTCGGAATTTCCATTATAAAGGCACGTCGAGCGTAAATTACCCAAAACAGAGCTTACAAAAGAAAAAAAAAAAAAAAAAAAAAAAAGATTTCTTCTATTATACAAGTGCCAATAGGCAGATAAAAAAAAAAAAAAAAAAAAAAAAAAAAGATTCTCTATTATACAAGTAGCCAATAGGCAGATATAGAACAATTACAGGCACCATAAGTACAGTGTCATTAAGATTTTTCTTATACATATATACAAGAGATACTTCAAATTTGTCCTACTTTTTATCTTTTTTACCTACAATTTTCATTTAAATATCCAAATCTGTCCTCCTACAAGTTCTAAGTGGTTGCTGAGGCTTTTAGAAGCTTCATCATGAAATTGAATTTGGTGTCTGGAGTTGTTCTAGGCTGAGGCCAGTTTGCTCCTTCTGGCACCTTAATGCATTTGAAACCCTGGTCCTTGTACAATTTTGTGGCGCCGGAATTGTTCAGATCACAGTGCAAAGCAATGGCACGACAGCCCCAGCTCCTGGCTTGAGCCTCTGCCTTTGCTATAAGTCTCTTAGCTATGCCCTTCCTTCGGTATTTCTCCCGAACAGCAACATTTGATATGTATGCAATCCCAGTCCTGTCACACAAAATGTACAGGTGCCATCAGTGAGGATATAATGACAAAACACATTAGATTTAAATATAAGAATCAAGAAAAAAAAAAAAAATTGATGTACAAAAAATCACATCCTCACAACCTGAGCGTGAGACAAAATTCTTTTCCAATAATCAAGCATAAATTAAAAACTATGGATTTCAATTTCCTTCACTTTTTATCAATTCAGAAATATAACTAGAGGAAGACCATTTCATGTTGAATAGCAGCAAGAGCCTGCTACTGCAATTAGCAGACCATTCCTAGTTTATAGTCTTAGTTTATAGTTTATTCAATTTTTATTTGCACTAGTAAGAACACATTTTCAAATTGCTGTTGGAAAAATATAATTAATATAAGAGGTAATGTTGATACATTTATGAAAAAGGGTAATAAAAGAAACATGAACCATTGAGGATTCATTAATGGAAAGATATGCATCGAAATCAGAAAGTAACCCATGAATTTCACTTGAAAGAGTTTTCATAAGTTTCCTTGTTATTGAATGCAATAGAATATATGTAGGATGCTGAAAATCAACTCCAAGTTATCTTGAGAAGATTTTTGAAGAGAGAGAACAAGTAGCCAAAATAAACTCAGCAATATTAGAATGTGCAAGACGGGGATATATCGCGATCAGTTATCATCAGCAATTTGTATATGCAGGAATGAAAAGACAAAGTTTCCTCATAACAAGTTGAGTTGAAATACAATGACATCACACAGTGAAGGAGGCCATGTGGAAGTCAAATTATATAGTTTAACCAGAAAATGAAGCAAGAAATTTAAACCAAAGTTTCTCCGAAACATCAAAACTTCCTAATACAAATCACTCCTAATAATCTTCAAGGATAATATCATGCCTCTAGGGAAATGCTATTCAATAATCTAAAAATTTAGTCAAACAGCTGCTTCTCAAGCTCAGAATTTAGTCCAATGCAATAACCTTTTTCAGGGAGATTTGAATGGATGCCTTCACTAAAAGTTGTGTTTCTTACCATGCTCAGACACCCAGTTGGAATTTGAAATGCAATGGGAGGAAGAGTAGGTAACCTAAATTGAATTGATTGTCACGTGGCAGGTGGAAATCTAGGACACATATGTTAATTATTCCCTACTGTGGAAATAAAAGGAGATATGGAGGACTTTTAAATGGAAAATAAGGAACATGAAAGGGCAGAACTCCAAAGTAGAGAATGTTACTAAAATGATTATGTCCTAGTTAGGAGAGTGAATGCCTCATTCTAGAGAGTGCTTCGCTAAATGCTGAGAATGAAGGTCCTCTGCAAGAAATGTGAAGTAAAATGACAAGGAAATAGGTAGCCCTAATAATTAAGATGAAAGTACACCTAAGTATTTTCTTCCAAAACCTGAAAATATCCTTGTAGTGTCATTACTATTTTCTAATGTTATTATTAACATGAGTTATCAAGAAAGATCATCCTGTAAGCACTTCTTAGAAACTAATAATCCATTCAATGTGTTATTCATCTTACTAAGATGATAAACAACAACATCTTGGAACTTAACAATTTTCAGCACCAAACAAGCAACATAATTCACACTCAATCACTAGAAATCACCGTGCTTACTTGCCGGCTAAATAAAAGATGTTTTATTCAAATTAACTTATAAAACTTGAAAACTAGATCCCAAGGCAGTCATAAAAACCTGAATGTCCCAGCATAAATATTAACTGACCTTCTTTGCCGAAGTGGGCCTTTTCTTGGAAGAAAATCAGCTACAGTATCCACAGTCAATATGCCAGTAACATACCCTCTATTGAGACTGAATTTCCCATCAAAACCTCCAACTTTGAAATCTTCATTACCAAAGCAGAAAGTTTCATCACCAGAGCTCCCAATGACAGCGACCAGACAAGTTCTCTTGCAACCAGATGGTATAGAGAATCCTGAAAGCATTGCCACCAGCCTATCAATCCTCAACACGAAATCTAGAGGGAAAGAGTAGTTGGGAAAGAAGGAGCTGCAGTGAGTCTCAGCCACTTCCCAACAATCCTCCAACCTTGCTTCCCTCACAACAATCTCTGGGGACACAGTAGGAAATAATTCAACCACTTGACTGGCTCTGCATTCTCCTAAGCACCAGAATAATCAAATTGACCTTTTAACATCCAACAAATCACGCAAGCAAAGTACAATACTTCAAATAAAAATTCATCAAAACAAAAAACAAAGTATCAAATTCAACCTGTATTAGACATTATGTTGTCATATACATCTAGTTCAAAACAAATGTTGTCATATACACTAATTACATAAACTATAGTAAAAATAGTCATTTAATTTATAGATTGAAGATCTCGAACCTCAGTTGACTTAATTCTCAAAAAAAAAAAAAAAAAAAAAAAAAAAATTCTCAAAAAAAAAAAAAAAAAAAAAAAAAAAAAAGAAAAAAAAAAAAAAAAAAAAAAAAAAGAAGCATAAATTTAAGGTTAGCCCAGAAATGACAAGTAGACAACAGTTCAATTAGTAGACAAATCTTGACTACTTCGGAAGCTAACACAATTAGAAATAAAAATCAAGAACTACAATACAATCTACAAAGAAAACCAGAAAAGGATTCCACAGCAACTGCAAAAACCAACAAAGATATAAATGGGAAAAGATGAAAAGACTAACTTTTGAGGTACCTGATTTGAGGAGAGGAGACAAAGAAGGTTCATTAGAGACCTTAGAAAAAGGAGAAGAGCTAGAGAAAGATTGTTGCTGTTTCTTGAAATGGAAGCCGCTGTTTATGGAGGTTGGGGATATTGCAATACCTAACGGTATAGACCGCATTTCCTGGAGATTTTGTCTCTCAGATTCTCTAGATAGAGAACTATATGGTGCAGTGTTTACCTCAGAATGTCTGAAGTGTACATCTTGTACTGCATTTTGGGGTTGTTTTCACACTTTGGTTATTATTGTTATTGTTATGACTACATACAACAGTTGTTCCTTTTTACCGATGCCATGGTAATTATTTCTGGGGCAAAGGATAGTTTGGTAAATTTGACTAAAGTAAATTGATTAGATTCTATTTCGATTTTTAATATCTTTGGTTCATTTTAATTTTGACAAAAGAAGATGGAAATTTTTTTTGTTTAATTTGGTTTTATTAAATTAAAATCTATTCAATAACATATTTGATTTAGTTATGTATACTAATCAATTTCGTTCAATGTTTATTTATGATCAAATAACAAAACTATACTGACAAAATTCGATTATTCCGGTTTCAAAAAAAAAAAAACAATTTGGTGTTCAATTAGGTAATTAATTTATTAAAAAAAGTAAAATGTTGATTATCAATTTTCTTATCTCAAAAATGATAATTGAATTAACTGAAATTGCCAAATTTTTCAATTGTCATATATATAATATTTCTTATTATAATATATTATTTTATAATAATTTTTTTCTTATAATACATATTTGAAATGATTCTTTATTAATGCTTTGTCCATATAATTATATCTCAATTAATGATGTACAAAAAATTTTATTGATAATTTATTTCGGTTACTGAATCAAAATACTCCATCTGATTATTGTTTGAGGGGTAAAATATTATGTTCAATTTCACTTAACCAGGTATTCACCTCTAGATGGAGGTAAAGTGATTTTTTAACATAAACTACACAGTAAAATAGGAATACAATGAAAGGGAAAAACAGAATTAGTATCTTTATCTAATTACATATAATAGAATGAGCAAGAAGTCTTCTAGGAGAGAGAGAGAGAGAGAGAGTATACGAATATCAGCAACAGCAAACCCTTCATTTAATACCCAAACTTGTTTATTGTTCTGTGGATAATTTTTTCATGAAAAAGATTATTGATTCCCTAATGACCATTATAAAGAAACAATGTACAGCAATTTGTTTGAGGATTTGTCTACCTATAGGTTCTCTTTCTAAGCTCTCTAAGTAAATCCAGAAAAAGGAAGATGCAACAGTTGATGTTTAAATGAACTGTAAATCACTGCTCTTTTTGAGATATATTTCAGTTACCTAGAAATCAACAGGGAGATTACTCAAAAATGCTAAATTGTAAGGAGATGTGGACTTCCCAAACTGAGAGCACCATTTAGGAAGTTTCTTATAAACTCTCTCAACTTTCGGTGTTAAGCGGTCAACATCTGTTCTTAGCTTCAATAGAGGCAGTTGGTCCTCCATTTGTCGTCTGTCCGCACTACGAGAAGACTTCATGGATTCCTTCGCCCAGAATAGGGTTAGCTCAAACTTTCTTGGAGCTTCTTTCCCTCCTGAAAACTGAATTATATGCCATCCATCTATGCTGGTCTTGTTGCCGAGTGGAATTAATTCCTCTGAATCCCCTGTATTCCAAGGTCAAATTTTTGAGATGGATAAAACAGCAAGAGGAAGGGACTAGCATTCGTTATTAAACTAAAGGGCGAAATAGGGTTTCTGCGTTGAGAACCCATTTTTTCACTACACGAGGTGCCAAGGATGATAATAGGAAGCAAGAGAATATCATCATCATGTAGTCTGTAATCTTACCATATCTGCATATCTCAAATGCAAGACCTTTTTTTTAAGAAAAAATGAATCTAACATGATGATGGAGGTAATTAGGGTGTTGATGGTACTTGCATAAATAAACTGCTAATACTAATAAGAGTATAGAGGAGATTTCCCAGAATGCAGGTAAGTGCACTGTCAAATCAACATTAGTAGACTCGGTGGCAAAGCCGCTAAGAAGAGAAGTGGAGAATTAGCCCCCCTTATCTTCTTGGAAAAAAAAAAGAAAAAAAAAAAGAAAAACATTGCAAACCTTGGAGTTCAAACTCGAGACTTGCTGCTTTTTTCCCTGCAAATAGACTTGTCTGGATACATATCATTGGCTAAATCAACTTGAAACATAGTAACAGTTTTTTTCAATGCAGCACCAGTTTTTCTTGTCAAGAGACCATGAAGAGACCTAATTTCATGTTGGACCTTACTTTATACTAAACTCTAAAGAAATATCAGTATAAGCAGCCATCACAAGCTCAACAAATCCTTGAGTGAAACAAGTCGACAACATTCTGATAATGCAAAATAGATCACTATAAAAAAATTGCCAGCTAATCTACTCGACCAAAAACAATCTTTTTTTCATCGTAGCACAACAAATGCTAATGGTTGTATTACATGACTGGTAATATATCTTCTGAAAAATTGTTACTCAAGGATGATTATAACTAAGAGCAACTCATCAATTTTGATGCATCATTAAGTACATAGAGGCTGTTTGGCTTTGCTGTTGGACTGCCAAGAGTACAGCATTGACGCATGGCACTCCAACGCAAAAAGGAACAGGCCTATGGTATACACAGTTATTTGATACAAAATTAGATGACCAATTATCATCACATGTAGAACAAAATCAATCAGGCAAGGGTAGTAAAAATCTCATTGGCATGTTTAATTTAATCCATCAAGAAAAAATAATGTCCTGTAGGCCTAGATGTATATGGACCATAAACTCCTTAAATGTTTTGTTATAACACTCCTTAGCAAAGTTTTGATCCACAAACTTAGAATGTCCCATATGAATCAGCATGTTAGGAATTGCAAACATAAAATGCCTGATGATGTCTGATAGCTACGAAACATGAAGAAAATGAGAGAAAGGGTAGGAAATGAAGATGGACAATTCTGGAATCGCCAAGAGCAGAGAGAAGGTCAGAGAGAGAAATGAGAACTTAAAAAAGATATTGAATGTGAAATGTCAATTCTGGACATCATTTACAATAGTTGCTTATTTATGCCACATCAACTACCACATAAGCACTCACTAAATAGAACAAAAATTACAAATTTACAATTAAATTCAAAACAGTTTATTCTCAATTGCAATCAACCCTATGCTTACAAGCTAACATTTTCTTTAGTCAAAGAAAATTGAAGAATTTTCGCAGCAAATGAACCTAGTGATGGAATTAATGCGCTCCGTGCAGTGACGTAAGGACTAAGGACCCTATAAACCCTACTGTGGGTTTTAGCATGCAGTTGTTGAATGAAGGTGGAGCATTGCTTCCAACACCTTGATCTAGGGAATTTGGGGAAACCTCGAATGCTAACTCCTACGGGATTGGGGAAATAACCCATTTACAATTGCAGTTAAGTCCTAACACAGTATCTACCATTTATCAACAATTAGCATATGAATCAGTTCTCTTTCCATTGACTCTAAAAATCAAGTCTTCCTCTACAGTGTTCAGGGAATAAGACGAGCAGAATAAGCAAGCAAATTTTCGGTATCAATGCATAGTTGAAGAAACATATACCTGTTCTTGGTCAGTAATATGCTAATTTGATCGCCATGCATCAAAAGAAATAAATCATCATCTTAAAATCTATTCGAAAACTGTTGCACAACAAGATGTAAAGTGCATAATGATAATATTTAACAGTTCTCAAGGACAAGAAAGTTTCAATATATTCAGAAGAAGTGGAGACGGCATCTATTATATATGAGGGACATGATTTGCCATAAACATTTATCTTCCTTAATCTTCCTTTAAAAGAACCATTAGTAACAATAGAGGTGGCCACGGTTCCGGAACCGAACCGAAAATTAACAGTTCCGGTTACTGTTGAAACAGAACGGTTCCGGTTCCAGTTCCTCAACGGTTCCAAAATCGATGGTTCTCGCCGGTTTTCCGACGGTTCCGGCCGGTTTTGGACCGGTTCTGGCCGGTTTCGGATGGTTCCGGCCGGTTTCAGACGGAACTAGAACTATCGGTTCCAACTGGAACTAGAACTGCCGGTTCACGGTTCCAAAACTGGGGAACCGGAACCGAACCGGTTTGGACGGGTTCCGGTTCCGGTTCCCACCGGTTCGGAACTGACAGTTCTGGTTCCGAAAACCAGATTTTGGCCACCCCTAAGTAACAACATTGTGATGATGGCCCATTTCACGAGATTGCCAGGGGATCTTAATATATACTTTGCTTTTAAGGATTCAGTAGCCAAATGGGCATCATAGCATACAAAAAAGGTTATGACAAATTGAAAGGAAGATGCACAGAATAAAAGCTTAATATACCTGTAAAAATGAAATCTTTTATTTCTTCAGTATTGATTGCAAGAGACCAACGTATAGAAGCTTTTGTATCAATTGCCACTTTCGTAATTCTTTCCTCTGCGTTGGTATCACTATCAACATGCAATGAAGGAATATCTGCATCACTCCATCCTCTTCCATTGTCCAAGTCCTCATAGGTCAAGCAGCCATACTCAACAGAGAAAGTAACAAAATCAACAATCTTCTCCCTACCACATGAAAATCCTTCTTTAATCTGCTCAACCTCCTTCATCAAGTTTCCAGGTGTTGACGAAAATAGAGATAAATATGAAATAGGATCTTGCTTATTACCATAGCTTCCTGTTGTATCCACAACGTGCACAACCTGAAATGCATGGTGTATGGAATTGTCTTAAAATATAAATAACAGTCAATTGAGTGCTTGAATTCATCACTATAGCATCCTACATGCAACAAAGTGATCATATTATACACCACCCACAGAAGACAAAAAAAACATGCAAATTGTGCAAGCCCAGTGAGTTTTGGGACCTAACCATGTTAACTAGTTGGATAACATCATCAAAAGATCATGCAATCAGATGCTGTTGTAAGTCAAGTTCTTCACTGATTGCAGCTCAGCAGGAAAAAATCAGTAGCCAGTTCACATATAAGATACGAAGCTGCTCGGATCACACAAATTTAAGTTCTCTCATTGAAAAATGTTTTCAGGCAGCCTTCCAAATACAAGTTTCTATGCATGTATAGTGCGACTTATATCAAAAGCATTAGTTTAATTGGTTTAATAGTGAGAAAAAAGAGTTGTTTTGAACTTAGTACATCGCTTGTGTAATTGCTGGATGAGAGGAAAACAGGACATATGATGAATCCAGTGTAGCAAGTAGTTTGAAGTACAATTAATTGACCATTTGCTTTCTCAGAAAATATAATTTTTAAGCCTTCAATTTGCAGTATCAGGAACTAAAACATTATGGCATTTGTTCATCCACATTTCCTCAATTTGGTAAGACCAAGGATGTAAGAATCTCTGAGCTCATCAGAGTTTGGAGGAAGAAGTCCTATCCAACAAACAAACACACCAGGTAGAATCTAGTAAGTGGTTAAGCAATTCAGCTGGTGAAATTTTGGATTAGAAAAGCAAAGAGACAGTGTAAATGGGAAAATCTTACAGTCACTTAGTAATCATAATTTCCTAACACTCAGAAGTCAGAACCATGCACAAAGTGGGAACTTTTATGAATATGAAAGCAAGAAAACATAACTGTAGTCAATATGCAAATGGAAACTTACATTCAGAGCTCTGGCAGCGTCTCCAGTAAACGGAGGAATAATACCAGATGATACAAAAATGAGTGAGACCCCAAACAGGACACTAGTTGCCAGGATGATTGATCTTTTAGCACCTACACATCAATAGCACACTGATAAGTGCAGTTACAGTATTTGATTCCAATTTGTATATTTTTTTTGTTTAATAAATGCGCCTAAATAGATGATCAATTAATCATTGATGCCCTTAATTTAAACCTCAATGATAAACTTACAATTAACAGAAAATGCTTATGCAGCGTCCAAAGTAAGTTGATAAATAAACCCCCATTAAGTTGATAAATAAACCCCCATATTCACTTTGGGATGCTCTAGGTATCCACATTCAGCTAAATAGGCAGTCTTAAATTCACAGCTTCTTTGGTTCATGCACCACAGAATTAGGGGCCCAATAACAGTAGAGATAAGATAATAAACTAAATAGGCAGTCTTAAATTCACAGCTGCTTTATTTTAGATTATCATCAAACTTATTAGGTAATTCTCTAAAAGGTTTAAATTATCTTCTCTCAACAATGTGTCAATGGCAGGGCCATCTGGGATGGGTGGTGTGCTCAGAAATGACAAAGGTGAAGTCAAATGTATGTTTTTGAGTTTGTACGTTTAATAGAATCCAATGAGGCTGAAGTTCGCGCTATTTGTAAAGCCATTGAACTTTATTTTTATTCTCCTCATAAAGAGTTTCCGATGATCATTGAATCTAATTCTCATAATGCATTGTGTTGGGTAAAAAATAGGGAAAAAAAAAAAAGACCTTGGAAGTGGTGGCCTCTTTTTAATAGATTGGACTTCTTGTGCTTCTCATTCATTATGAAATGTTAGTTTTGTTCAGGTTTGAAGATCGGTGAACTCTTTTGCTGATATACTAGCAAAAAAGGGCGTGGAAGCTGCTGTTTCTCTTTTGGCTTGGATTTAGTTTGAGCTAAAGCGATTTTTTCTTCTGTTTATGCTTTGAAGGACTACCTTATGTGTAGTTATATCTTCTCAATATCAAACATGGATTCCTTGCAAAAGGTCTCATTGTTCTTATCTCAAGAAAAGGTTTCATTTTGTAACTTGCTTCTATTGTTTAGATGTAATATGGACCAGATTTTTCCACTTATCATTCTCTAGCAAGGTTGGGTGTACTGGAGGAGTCTATTCAGTTGGGTTTATTGCTGGAGTTTGATAAGTTTTTCATATATTTCAAACAAAATATATTTATTTTGCTGATAAAAAAAAAAAAAAATGTCAATGGATGTTAGTAACACCTTTCTATAAATGCATTTATTCTTTATTCAGCCAAACTTTATTTATTGTTTATCAAGAAAATTTTTTAGCACTAAATCATCATATTATGTGTTTGTACAATCATTATTTACATAAATGACTTGAGCCACTTGGCCATTTGAAAAGGTTCATTTCATGCACTCAGTGCACATAAATCGCAATTATTTGGATCAAGTGATCAACCCAACCAGATTTACTTAACTTATTTATGAAATGAAACCTTAACCCAGATTTGCATAAACCATCTCATTTTTTGTGCCCAAGTGGCTTTCACCAATTTTATGTACTAACTTGTCAATGCAAAACGCAGTTCACATAATAGCTAAATGATTGTTTAACAAAAGTGTCAATATGGTATGCAATTTAATAAAGAAATCATATAAAAACGGAACCTGAAAGATGAACATATGAAAGGACGTAAATCAGAGTGAAGCATACGATAACAGCAATGAAAACAGAAAGTATTGCATTCCCCAGCCACTCCGGAGTGCTGCCCGGATTCCTGCAAAAAATTACAATGTAATCAGAAGTTATTGCAATCTTATGTAGTAAATTTCTGAAAAGATATAGCAAATTAGGAATGTCCTATTGACCAAATTATATAGCTTTAGAGAGTTAATGAACGATGACTTGCCAGTGTCTATGGACATGTCTACCAGTGCACCCTCTAGGTTGTAAGAAGAAGACAGATATTCCCCCATTCAACCCCAAAAAAGTGTACAGAAGATAATTGGTAACGGAAGATCTTCAACATTTTCCTTTTTTTTTTTTTTTTTTTTTTTTTTTTTTAAGAAGAAGACAGATATTCCCCCATTCAACCAAAAAAAGTGTACAGAAGATAATGGTAACGGAAGATCTTCAACATTTTCCTTTTTTTTTTTTTTTTTTGTTTTGTTTTAGAGAGAGCAAAAAAGGCTATATTTGCTAAATTCCTCCAAGATCCTCCCTTCTTTTTCCAAAGTTCAAAATGAACCCATAATGTGATTTTTGGAAAAATGGATCCACATCTCATATAGTTTTGACAATAGGTTACAGGACCTGACCTCAAGACGCTGTTCAACAATTTACATATTGGAAAAATGAGCGCAATCTTCTGGTTTTTTTTTTTTTTTTTTTTTTTTGTTTTAGAGAGAGCAAAAGGCTATATTTCTAAATTCCTCAAAGATCCTCCCTTCTTTTTCCAAAGTCAAATGAACCATAATGTGATTTTTGAAATGGTCCACATCTCATATAGTTTACTAATAGGTTACAGGCCTGACGACTCAAGACGTGTTCACAATTTACATATGGAAAAATGAGGCATCTTCTGGAATTTTTTTTCACATAAAAAGAAAACCGGATTTGTTTTTCTACAAATGCGATAAGTTTTCCAATTTTCTGCCCTTTGCAAAACTGGTTTGCCAGTTTCTAGTATGATGCCAAAGCTGAAAATAACTAAAAACGATTTTCAGTTGTTTCCTGCATAGAACTCCATTTGATTCCAATTTCTCTTAAAATAGAAAAATCCAACAATACATTTTTTTAGTCACCTACAACCAGTACAACCACCATCACCATTGGTAACACCATCATCAACAAAAACACACAAAACCACCCCACTTTTACCAATAGCATGATCTTCCCAGCAGTTTATATAGGAGCTATAGCCGTTTTATTCTATTCGTTGTTATGATGTTCCGTACCAAAAAAAAAAAAAAAGCATTGCCATTATCCAAAAACTACCATCAGCACCCAATACCAAAAGTGCCACCATCACCGGCATTGGTACTGTCACCGTCACAGTCACCTCAACAAGTACCAACGCTGCTAACCCTGCAGTACAACATATAGCGCATTAACACTGACTACCACCTTCACCATTGTCATCAATACCATCACAAACACTACCCAACCACCATTCTCCTAATTTTCAGACATCCTACAGACCCAGCATCACACCATAATAAAGGAATAATATCCCAATAAACATTTATTTGTTCTAATTACTTCTATGACGTTTTACTTTCATAAAAATATGAATATGAACAGTAATAATAAGTAGAGGAAAATCAGACAGATGTACGTTTCTAGTTTCCTAATGAAATCAAAACAAAAGGCCTGTACCAACCTGAATAACCACTGATAATATAGGTCATTTGAGAGAAAAGACAAGAATTTGAAATCAAAGAGTCAAAGAATGGCATTCTAAAGAGTCAAATAATATCATAATTATAAGTTTACCTATCAAATCGAACCATGATCCCAATTATTGTGGCAGTCAAGCGGATAAAAGTTCCTGAAGAAATTACAATTGGCACAGCCAAGCCCATCAGTAGCGTTGCAAGTTTGAGAGGCCTTGGCAATCGAGCTGGGGTTAGAGTTGCTTCAAGCAAGCCATCTGAACATTACAATATTTAGAAACAGTTCAATGGAAATTTGTCATTAATTCATTATCACATGTAAATATTCCCTAACACCATTCTGTCTTGGATCTCAAAACCAAGTCAGAAAAGGCTGTGTTTGTTTCTTTCTTATCCACTGTTAAGAATCTGGGCCCTAAGAGCAATTAGTCAAATTCAATTAACAATTCATTTAATAAATAATAATTTGGACTTATAAGAGTTGGGCTCACTTTTAATACAAAATGGTCTAAGTCATTTTGGTCGGTTCACATTCCTTATTATATGTAATTTACTCAATTCATGTTTATCAAATGTGGGATTACCCACGTACTCCTACACTCCCTCCACAAGTGGCAATTAGGCCACTTGACAAGCATACGAAGACCCAACATGGATCCTTCAGGGTACAATCCACATGGGAATTTCCCTCATGCAATACAGGTTCGGGTCCCAGGCTCTGATACCGTGTTAAGAATTTAGGCCTCAGGAGCAATTAGTCAAATTCAATTAACAATTCATTTGTTAATTTGGACTTAGAATGACTTGGGCTTATCTTTAACACAAAATGGCCTGAGCCATTTTGGTTGGTTCATCTTCCTCATTATCCCCCAGTTAGTCAATTTATATTTATCCAGTGTGGGGTTACCCACATACTTCTACATCCACATTTAAGAATGCCTAAATGTAAACTTACATGCAAATGCTGGTGGAACTAGCCAAAAAAGTGCCATATAAGATGATCCAATTTTGTAATAATTCCCCAAGATCAGAAGAACAAGCCACTGAACAAAACCAGCTTTAAAAAGCCATCTTTCAGCCTCTAACTTGATCAAATCTGCTTGGTTAACTGATGATAGCAGTTTTCTCTTGGAGTACACATTTGATAAATACATTTGAAGAATAAGATATCCAAAATGTTGGCCAGTCAACGCTCCAATAATTGCAGGTGCAGCGAATAACCCAACTACTAACCATGGGCTTGCAACATACGGCACTGGTGATGATGATATTAGGGGAAGAATGAAGGCTGCAAGGAAAGCAAATCCTATTGAAAAGACCAACATGAGGATGGCACTGAGACATGATAAGCCCAATGAAACCACAGCTGGATAACCACCCATGAACAGTGATGCTGTCCATATTAGAAGTGATTGCAATATCACAGAATTGTGAAGCATACTCGCAAAACGTTGACTGTATATGATCATATATGTCCCCTGACATTGGAAAAAATAGTTGCAAACTTTGTTATTAGGCATCAGAATGAACAAGGTGACTATTTTAAAACCCAAAAATGGCATTCTAGTCTTAGTAAGAAGTACCAAAATGTCAAAAAATATAGCAGTGTCATGGCCGTTCTTTTCCTCTTCTCCCATTGCCTTGCCTTTAGGAAGATGAGGTGTTGGAGCTACCTGAAGCAAAAAAGCAAGCATATTCTCTCCAAGATGCTGAAGAGATCCAGATTTGAGCAGATCTATTTTGTCATTCTGCAAAGAAAATTTTCAAATTTTCTTCTTACCCAGAAATATGATTAAATATGTTATGTATTTTATTCAATTTATTCTGATTATTTAATGAGCAACATTCACATTGCTTAACAAATACCTTCAGAACTTCAAAACAGCAAAGAATGCATCACAATCTATCTCCGCTTAAAAGTAAAGAAATTAAATATAATCATTTTACATGTTTCCTCGTTTCTCTATTTATAACAAAAAGAGAGACAGAGAGAGAGAGACTGACTATGCTATTCTTTCTTCTATTTGGAAACACCATGTAAAATAGGTCTAATTGACGAGTAAACATTCTGATTATAAAGCACACATGAAACAACTTGCAGCTCAGGACATGCAAGTCACCTGTCTAACCAAAAACAACCATCACACGTGTTAACTTGTTAAAATGGTATACATTCATCAGCAGTATGCTTCCTCAGGCATGAGCCCATTAAAGCACACTGTGAGTGCACCATTCATGCCATACTATGTACTGCCAACATGCAGAAATTGGTTCAGTTCATTGACAATATATACATGAAACTGAGTTCAAACTTCACATCATAGCTCATACGTCTCAGTTTGATGCTAATGAAACTAATTTATTTGGGTCAGATAAGTAAGATTAACAGAATATTGCTTCATCATAGATAGCCCAAAAAGTTGCCACATAATTTTACTCCATTCCCCGCAATAATAAGGTGTCAAGCAGATGAAGATCACATTCCTTCCAAAAAAAAGGAAACAAAAAGGAATGCACATAAAAGCAAGACCTTAGTGTGATATACACCACTGTTATCCGTGTAAGCAAAGTCAAGCCCTGAAAGACCAGCAACCTCTTTGTATACTTGGAAATCTGTAGCAGATTTAATAATGCCAGATGAAAAAAGATCCTGCAACCTTAAAGCCATTCAGATACATCAACTATCAAAAAGATATATATAAGAAATATCATTAACAAAAAAAAAGAAAAAATACCAACCTGTGCTACAATATGACCAGATGGGTATTTTGCTGCTGATGCATAGTTCTCAATAGCCCATGGATGAGGACCAGCCTATAGGTGAAGAATCATAAATTACAAAAGGTGCTTACTAGACCATAGAGACAAAAGATGGTACATTAATGTTTTAAAATTCTACATAATAAATTTAAGAAGTAGAATCATAGCATATCAGAGTTACAATCAGTACCATCTCATAATATTTCAGAGTGACTTAGTCATTTGCCATTGATAACGTTTTGTGGATAAGTTGCATATATTACATGTTAAGTCTTTATTTTTATGTGCTAGAAAGAGATTCATTTGCCAGTTCCTGTCCTGTTCACAGCAAAATCCTACAACTGAGACAGTCTAAAACATGTCTTTTTTTTTCCTGATCACTTTCGGTCATGCAATAGATAATTCAAAGCCGTTCCTTTAGCCATTGCTCAACTAAAAAAAGGAAAAGGGAAACACCTTTTGCTAGAGCCTAAACCACTAACTATGTGACCTAATCAAATGGCAGCAAAAGGAAATGCAAAAACAAATTGCCAGAATAATATACCTGAAAAATGCCAGATTTCCCTCCAACACCCATAGCCTCCAGATCAATAGCCATTCGAATAGTTGCATTCCAAGGATGCTGCATCAGCAAAACAAATTTATTCTACTGCTGAAAAGATCTTATGCTGTTAATGGAAGGAATAGCCTTGGAGTTACTTAAAAACTCAATTGCTTCTATTTTTTGTAGAAATGCTGCTGAGTACTCTTGTTCACAGGATATGCAAAATACTAAATTCAGCAAGATTATAATGTAGAAGAAAAATAGAAAGACTAGAAAGATCCTAAACATTTTGGCTTTCCTTAAATAAATAGTTTACAGCTCCAGAGCTAAAATCTAATGTAAGATTCGGAGAAAAGGCCATCATGAATGCAAGCATTGATAACGCATCCAACCTGAGTCATAAAGCTATGAGCACCATTTAGACCTTCCTCCTCTCCAGTATTGAATAAAAATATGATGGCATTCTTAAATCCATGTGCCCACTGAGAAATCCCTCGAGAAAGTTCCAACATAACAGCCACACAAGAACTGCAATCTCCAGCCCCTTCCCTGAAACATGTATAGCACTTTTTGACTGAGAAGGCAGTGTTTTTCTGAAGCATTTGTGATCAAAGCACAATAAAGACATGTGAGTATGCACACCAAAAGTCAACTAATGGATGTCTTGAATAAACATTATATGGACAAGTTTTCTTCCTTACACAAGATACTTGAAAGAAGAAGATTTTTATCACCAATGATTAAATAAATATCCAGTTCTTTAATTGAGACCTAATAAGGATCTTCAATTCCACTTGTTTGTCAACAACTACAATGACCATATATGACATTTAATATTCAGTGTCTCCAATAAGATCACATATTTTTCTAGTCCTTTCCAAACGTAATCATTAAACTCACACGAGAATTAAAATGGTTATAGTCCTTTGATACTATAAACCTTTCTCAGATAATATCACCAATAGTGATGGCATAACTTCATACACGGTTGGAACCCAAAAGGCAGAATAAGAGAAATAACTTTCAATAGAGGTATCATAATGGACTACCATAATAAAAAGAAAGCACTTTCTTGTATGAATAGAATAATCATAGTTAACGGAAATGGTCAAACAGAAGTATTTTGATCATGATAAATATTAGAGAAAGCATACGTTGAGAAAACGGTATCAATATGAGAAGACACAAGAATAGCATTTTCTCCTGCTTCAGATGCATATTTTGGCAAGATTCTTAGTACGATGTGATTAAGGTCTGAATAAACAAGTGTTTTCCCCTTGAAGAGGCCACTGACTAGACGATTAGCGCCAGATTTTGCATGGAAAAGATCAACTTGAACATCAACCTCCCAGTGAGCTGTTTTCTTAATGTTTTCTGCTGCAGCCAAAACATACTGTGGTAGAATGTATGTTAAAAGAAAATATCTATAAATGGTTGTCCATTATAATATTGTTACATAATCGTTAAGAAAATGATAATGCCAAGTAAAATTATACAAGGATGGACTATTAAATAGCAATAGTACAGAGTACAGACCCAAACCAAACACATAACATGTGATAAAACTTGAAAAGTTCATGAAGTTCTTCTAATTTGGTTCCCCATTTCCAAATCAAGATTAATAAATAAAATATAACTGAGTGTTTTAATATACTACTGTTCTTTAAAAGAACCAGTAACAAATAAACAACAGACATGAAAACTGATAAGCCACACTACACTTCAAAACACAAACAGGATGTTCCAAAACCATTTCATTCATTTTCAAACTGCAAGCAAGAGATTAACAAGCACAGGCTTTTACAATGATAATGAGACTACTTAAAAGCCTATTTGGTATTGATGTTTGAAGCTTTTATGATTAAAACATGTAAAACTCCCTTAAAAACTAAATCTAATTACCTCTAATCATCATTTTCAACATTGTGCAGTTCAAGCGGTAATGCAAAGCCTATAGTTAGCATATTAAAATTCTAAAGACTTAATTTATTCATTTAAATGAGGCCAATTTTACTACATAGATAAATGATAATAACAAGCAAATTTTCCAAAAAAAGGCTCAACAAAGAAAACCCATCTCCGATTATACACATGCCAAACACAAAAACCCACAAAATACCTGTAAAGCAAGGTCAAGAGCATCAGACCCAACAGGGTGGGGACCCAATTGAGTCAAAGCACGAACATGCTTCATAGCCTCCACCTCAGAAAAACCTCTCTTACCAGCTTGGCCAGCGGTGAGAGGCGATGGCAAACTCTCGAACTGATAATAGTAAACAGCCCATGAAGAGTACACAAGCACCCCGAACAATATCAGCCACACAAACCCTGACCTTCTACTACTTCTCCTTCCAGTAATCGAACCACTTGCGTCTGCAACATTAGAATTGCTATTTCTAGTGGTATCATCATCATCGCTAGGTTCTTGAGCGTTCGACGGCTTCGATTTGGAAGACGAAGCCTCGGGCCTTTTTCGCATTTTGACTTTAATTGAGAGACAGAGAGAGACAGACAGACAGACAGACGGAGACAGAGCGTAAGAGAGAGGAGTTTGTTTCAATTTGCGCAGTGGAAGACGAAGGTGCTAAGGTTTAAAGGCTGGTTATGAACTGCCAGAGCCAGACTGCCATGGCAGTTTTAGTTGACTTCTACAACTTGCTGTCTAGTCCTAACGGTGAAGAGCACATGTCGTTTGGATGGCTCCGTTGAGGTCGGTATTTAACGCATGCCGTTTGGAGCATGAGCCGAACGAACCCAATACTTGGTTAGTTGGTTCGCGTTTTTTTTTTTTTTAGCATCGGGAAGGAATTTGAACTGGATTCACCTATGTCAATATTGTCCGTTTTGGTGCCCCTAACCGGATTTGCACCGCACGGTTTAATCATATCCACTCAACGGCCTGTAGCCGGAGTTCCAAATCCGTTGAGGTCGTATTTAACGACATGCCGTTTGGAGCATGAGCCGAACGGAACCCAATACCTTGGTTTAGGTTGGTTTCGCCGTTTTTTTTTTTTTTTAGCATCGGGAGGAATTTGAACTGGATTTCACCTATGTTCAATATTGTCCTTTTGGTTGCCCCTAACCGGTATTGCACCGCACGTTTAATCATATTCAACCATATCCACTCAACGGCCTGTAGCCAGAGTTCCAAACTGTATGGGGCGCAGATCTGCTATTCTATGTCGCGACATAGCCTTATCTACATAGTTTCTACCCAACCTCAATGGAGCTTAATATTAACATGTCAACAATGTAACACAATAACATATAAATGGTTGCATAACTGCATAATTTATCATGTTGATTTGATTTCACATCATCTAAATGCTTACCTGTTGTTTTAATCCATGTTCTTATGTTATATTTTTGTTGTAGAATGATTGGATGCATATATGTTGAGCAAAGGAATGTAATTACATAGCAAATGAAAGGCAAAAGAATGTCACAGCTGAAGTCGCGACCGCGTATGTGAAAGTCGCGAGCGCGACTTGTGCATCCTGAGAGTCAGTATGTTTCTGGCTGAAGTCGCGACCGCGCAGCCATATAAATGCTTGTATGTTGTTTTAATCCATGTTCTTAGGTTGTATTTTTGTTGAAAAATGATTGGATGCATGCATGTTGAGCAAAGGAATGTAATTACATGGCAAATGAAAGGCAAAAGAGTGTCACAGCATAAGTCGCGAGCGCGCAATGGGAAGTTGCGAGCGCGACGTGCTTTCCAGCATGCGCGAGCGCGCGACGTGATTCTGTGCAGTCTGTATTCTTTTGGCCATAACTCTCAATAGCTAATTCCAAATTGAGTGATTCAAAAACGCGTGTCAAGCTAACACAGAAAGGAACAAATAACTCTTCTATGACAATTCCTAATTCCATCATTAAAAGGGTTCAAAATCAAGATGAAGTTGTTGGTAAAATTTCCAGCAAACTATGTTTCCACTTCATATAGTCATCCCCTGTTTTCACATCATATCCAATCTTCTCACTCAACAATAAGCAACATATCATCTCACTAGCAACACCACACAATTTACATGCACACACCACACAAGTTCTCATGCAAGGAAAGTTGCTAAATTAAAAGAGATATCAAACCTTCACTCAAAAAGCTTGAAAGCTTCTTCTTAGCTTCCTTGTTCTTCTACCTTTGAGCTCACCTCTCCTATACATTAGAACTCTTATGAATACTCTAAAATATAACTAAATTAAAGGTTCAATAAAATAGAGCTTCAAGAAATTCTACTTACTTGGATAGCATAGAGGTTGAATTTAATGCTTGAATACCAATGGAAGAAGATAAAGATGAAGAAGATGGAGAAAAGAAGGTGAGTAAAGGAGATGAAGAAGATAAAGATGAAAATGGGAAAGTGAAATGGAAGTCTCGGGCAGGCTCCAAAATATCATAAATTGTTTATAAAATTACCAAATGGTACCTCAATTGTCAATAGGTTACAACTTAATACCTAAGCTTGATATTTTAGTGCAAGTAAGTCTTAATCCTTATACTTTGTTCCACATAAGTCCACTTATACTCTCATTTTCTACCCCAACAAGGTTTGATTCAACCCAACTCAAACTTACTTTATACTCTCATTCTACCCCAACAAGGTTTGATTCAACCCAACTCAACTTACTTCTATGAAATGACTCAACTCAACTCACTAGGATGTTACAGTTCTTGCTAAAGCCAATCCTACGAGCCTCTTATCTACTCCCATTCGATCACGATGCAGTTAACTCGAAAGGAAATGAGTAACTCTCGAGGTCCGAGTCAAATAGCAATGATTCGAAGCCGGTTGAATATAGGGGAAATTTTTAAATAATATATACATAAACGTGTTTATTACATCCTATCGTGTTATTTGTATTTAAATTTTGATAGAATTTAATTTAATGCTATATATGTTTGGTATAAATGAATTTAAAATGTGAAATTCATTTATAAATAAAATTTTACGTTTGGAATAAATTTAAAATTTAGAATAAATTTAATTTTATTTGTTAAAACACTCATTACGCTATAATTTTAGAAATCGAAGAAGTGGATAATTTAGTCATAAAATTTTAAGTTATTTAATTTTTTGAAATTCATTTGAAAAATTTTACATATTTTAACAAAATTTAATTTAGTCATATTTAAATCTATAAAATTGAATTTAATTATATTTAATTTGTAAAATTTAATTTTTTATTTTTTATTTCAAACACAAAATTTGAATAGATAAATTTGACAAAATTTTGTGATTTATGCTCCGTTTGGTGTAAATGAATTTAAAATATTGAAATTCACTTGTAAATATAATTCTTTTTTTTTTTTGTTGAAAGAGAAAAAAGTATCATATATTATCTCAAGGAAAAATAATCCATCAAACAGTCAGGCACTGAGTCCCAAACATGAACACGATTAAAATGATAGGACGCTCTAGCTAGACAATAAGCACCTATATTATCGTCTCTTCTGATCCAACGAACTTTGACTAGTGGAATGGAGGCTAATAACAATATACTATCAGAAATAACAATATCCAACTCACTCATATCTCTAGTCTTAGACAAAAGAGCATTAAAAATACTTTGAGAATCTATGAGGATAGTACCCTCACTCTGAATATGCCGAGTTATAAACTGTAAAGTGAAATGCAGAACCGAACCTTCTGCCATAAGTGGAGAGGGTTGACCTTCATAGAAGCTGGAAATAGCACACAAAAAATGGCCTTCATTGTCTTAAAAAACAATCCCTATACCCGCTGATCGTATATTAGAAAAAATAGATGCATCCACATGGCAAGTCCACTCTCTCAGATTGGTAATAGCAGGTGTTACGTGCATAATTTGTACCTGGGGTATTTGCAACTTCACCAAGGCATTCTTGAAGTCTTGAAAAACAATAGAAGTAGTAGCACTAACATTCAAGGGAGACCAAGCCATTTGTTGCCAAAGAAATTTGTTCCGAGCATCCCACACACTCCATGCAACATAAGAGATAAAAGCTAACTTTTCGTTATTGTTTTGCTTCAAGACCTGCAAATAAAGAGATTTAAAAGAAAGGTTAGTAAAAGCTTTAAAAAAGAAAGGGTTAGTAAAAGCCTTCCTCCACCCTACAACACCTTTTCCAAACCTCCAACACCTTTGTGCACAATAATAATGCATGATTTAATATCTATAATGCATGATTAATATCCTCCTCCAAATCACAATAAGGGCATGTAGTGTCCACATTCACACCCCGCCTGCTCAATCCCCGACGAGTAGGCAATAAGTTACGCAAGGTTCTGCAAATGAAATTTCTAACTTTTGGTGCAACATTCAACTTCCAGATACTCCCCCACCCCTCACCTTCGATACTCTCATCACCCCTTCCCAACACCTTCAAGGCAAGATAATAACAAGATTTAACACTAAAATTACCCTTCTTATCGTAATACCAAATCAGCTCATCCTCCAAATCTCTCACACTAAGGGGGGATATCAAGAATAGTGTGGATATCCCTCAAAAAAAAAAGATTAAGAATCTTTGCCACATCCCATTGCCTCTCTCCCTCCACCAAAAGATCTTTCACCAGGAGAATATTATCAATAAAGAGACTATCATCCTCCACATAAAAGGCTCCATCAATGGGTAACCAAGGGTCCTTCACAACAGAAATACGCCTACCATTGCCAACCCTCCACCTAACTCCATGTTTCAAGACCATTGCCAAACCCTTCCACCTAAAACTCCATGTTTCAAGACCCATGTTAGAAGGACATTATAACCTCTCCAGACAAAACTAGGGTGAAATGACCCGTTTGTGCATCAAGACAACCTCCCGTTCACAAAAATATTTAGATTATGAAAAACTCTATAAAGAAAGGGTTATTTAGTGCGAAGTCAAAAGACGCCACCCCTGTTTTCGCTAAACATAGCCCTATTGAAAAAACAATTTAAGATCCTAAAACCCATGAACAATGAAGATCCCTAAAACCCATGCCCCCATCTTTTTTACTCCCACACATTCGATTCCAAGCTAACCAATGGAGCTTCTTCTCACTACCCTTCGAATCCCACTAAAAACTATTCATCATTTTTTCCAAGTCATCACATAGACATAGAGGCAATTCAAAGACACTCATGCAATAAGCCGGCAATGCTAGAATCACGGACTTAATAAGTATCTCTCTCCTCGCTTTGGAAAGAAATCTGTTAGACCAGCTATTTATATGCTTCCACATTCTTTCTTTGAGAAAACCAAGAACTTGTCTTTTATTCCTACTAATCAGAGAAGGTAACCCCAGGTAAGAACCACCCTCAAAGGGGTTAAACACGCCCAGAATATGGCTGATATCGGCTTTCACAGTCATGCTAGTATTCAGACTGAACGTAATGCCAGACTTCTGAAAATTAATCGATTGACCAGAAGCACTCTCATATGTAGCTAAGATCCCTTTAACATTAATGGCTTTAGTATTGGATCCTTTGAAGAAGAAAAGTGAGTCATCTGCGAAAAATAAATGGGAGATTTTGGGACACCCTCGACCAGCTTTACCACCATGAATCTTACCACACCTTTCTGCTTCTGAGAAGAGTAGTGACAAACCTTCTGCACATACCAAAAATAAGTAGGGCGATATAGGATCTCCCTGCCGTAAACCTCTTCCGGGGGCAATAGATCCAACAGTATTCCCATTAACAATAACTGAATATTTTACAGAAGTCATACACATCTTCATCCAATTTACCCACATAGCACAGAACCCCATTTTCTCGAGCATGGCATAAATATACGCCCATCAAACTTTGTCATAGGCTTTATTGATGTCAATTTTCAGTGCACAATTTCCACATCTACTTTTACTTGGCTTCTTAAAGATGATGCATCATTTCAAAGGAGATTAAAATATTATCAGTGATAAGCCGTCCAAGTATAAAAGCAGACTAATAGCAAGAGATAATATTTGGTAACACAAATTTTAATCGGTTCACTAGGATTTTAGACACAATCTTGTAGAGCACGTTACACAATGAAATAGGTCTAAAATCAGTAACAAATTCTGGTCTATCTTTCTTAGGGATCAAAACAATTAAGGTATCATTGAGAGAGTCTGGGAAAATACCTTGTTGAAGCTAATGGTTACAGGCAGTTACCAAATCCCCACCAATTAAAGGCCAAATTTCTGATAGAAAGTAGGGTTCAAACCATCCGGGCCGGGTGCTTTATCAGTACCCATTTGAAAAACTACTACTTTTGCTTCGTCAAGTGAGATGGGAGCTATCAACATGCAATTATCTTCATCGCTTATTGTACTGTGTACCAATCTCAAAATGGGCTGAAAATTCATGGCATTATGCGTAAAGAGATGAGTGAAATAGTCAACAAACAGCTGCTGCTTCTCATATTCCTTTTCAATCTACTACCCTAAAGAGATGAGTGAAATAGTCAACAAACAGCTGCTGCTTCTCATATTCCTTTTCAATCTACTACCCCGCAGCGTTTTGTAGTTTATTAATGGAATTCTTGCGTGTTCTGGCTTTGATTTTAGCATGAAAATATTTACTGTTTCTATCACCATGCTGCAACCAAAATTGTTTACTGAGTTGTCTTCGTCTAGCATCCTCTTGCATTAGAATATTTCCCCACTCTCCAATTAAACATGTGGCATCAGTAAAAGGATCAACCTATCGAGCAAAATCGATAGCACGCTTCAAGCTATTCTTTTTCTTCCAAAATCTCGAATTCCTGTCCATACCCCAACTTTGCAGTGCGTCTATACTAGATTTTTTTACGAAGCATTATATCAGACCCATGGAGGAGGACCAACTGTCTCGAACTACTCCAACCAAATCTTCGTTATGAAGCCATGCATTATCAAAACGGAACCTCCTCTCCTTCCTACGAGGTACCTCACCCTCAACTGTCGAAACTAACAATGGGTCATGGTCCGATGTTGGTGAAACCAACGTAGTTGTAGAAGCTTCCTGGAATAAACAGGACCAGCAATTATTAGCCATAGCACGGTCAAGTTTCTCATGGGTGATAATTCAGCCAAATCTTTTTAAGAACCAAGTAAATTTATAGCCTTTAGCAGGAATATCACATAAATCACTCTCCACTGCCGCCTCCTTAAAACCATTCAACAAGTATTCACTCTCCACTGCCGCCTCCTTAAAACCATTCAACAAGTATCTAGGATATTGATTTCTACCAATCTTCTCTGAATCAGCCAATAGATTATTAAAATCCCCAACACATAACCAAGGACCATTATGTCTACGGGATAAATTATTAATCAAGTCCCAGGAGTTCTGCCTTCTACATCTTTCTGGAAACCCATAAAAACCAGTTAGGCACCATGAAATACCAGAATAAAGAACCATAGCATCAATAAAATTATTTGAGTAACAAGATATGGAAACATCAACTTCATTCTTCCAAAGCAAACCAAGACCACCACTTCTCCCAGTACAATCCACAGAAGAGCAAGAATCAAAACGCAACAAAGAACAAAGGTCAACAAGCTTCATTTTATGAACTAAAGTTTCACAAAGGAACAAAATAACAGGGCGGTAAATTACAACAAAGTCACATAGAGCTTGTATTGTCCGAGGGTTGCCAAGTCCTCGACAGTTCCACGAAAGGATCTTCATTGCTTCCGGCCATCCTGCCTCACAGGATCGATCGATGTATGTTTCTCCGACTGATTGATGGTCGAAGTGGTCCCAGATGCAGAATCATTTTGATTAGAAACGGCAACGGTGCTAGGAGTTGTAGGAATAATTCGTTGTCTTTTTTTAGTCTCATCACTGATACATAAAGCCACATCTTCAACTCCGCCCTCTTCAAAAAAATCATCTTCCATTTTATCAGAGTTATTGCCTTCGTCAAGATTTGAAGATGTACCATAAAAGGAGTTACAAAAATTTCTCACCACAATGGTATCTCCTTCCAAAATGGATGTCGAATTTCTAGATGTCGAATTCTAAGTGTTCCCAATTTGCCTGAAAATTTCAGCGGACACCAAAGGATCGGATCCAGGAACTCTGTTTGTTTCTCGCTCCACGCCTCACCGGAGCACGGAATACTATCATATCCCCAGGCCAAAATCAGTTTCCTCTCTTCTTGGTTTAGATAACCGAAGACACAGAAATAACTCTGTTTATTGGACAATGCGCCACATAGAAAAGCAAATCCGTGAAAACCTTCTCATATTGAAAACGAAACATTAATAAACCTTCTCTAGACAGAGCAATTTAACGGAAAAAGTCTGTATTTTTTTTTTATGGGAATGGGACTAATTAATATGACGGAAATACAACCTCAGGAACGTTATAAATATTTGTATAAAGTATAGGGACTACTTAATTAATTATGGCAAACCCAGGGACAAAAATTTAAATTATTTTTTCAAAGGATTAATTTTTGTCTTTTCTTTCTCAAAAATTAACGAAAAAAAAGTGTTAATTTTTTTTACGGAAGGACCAAATTTAATATTGACAGTTGGGCAAAAACCTCAGGGATATTATAAATATATGTATAAATTTGTCGAGGACTACTTAAATAATTTATTGTAAAAACCTCTAGGGACGAAATTAATAATTTTTCCCCTTTATTATGTAACGATATAATTAAACTTGTTCATTTTTTTATTAAACATAAAAATAATAAATTCATTATTTAAAACATAAATAATAAATTTCATATAAAGAAGTATACTAATATTTCACGCTAATTAATTAATTATATAAGCAGTAACATTTATCATAATAATTATTTGTAATTGATGTAAAAAATTTTATTGATTTAAGAAAAAATATTAAGAATGTTATTATTGTTTTTAATTGCATTTGAAAACAATTGTTGATACTCAGTTTTTACAGTTTTACAGTAATAATAACTAACATTATTGCTAGGCATCAAAAAGAAAAAAAAAAACGTCATTACTGGTTTGAAATTTTTCAAAAAAAATAAAAATATAGACTAACGTAGTTATTGGATTTAAAAAAAAAATAATGTTGCTATAGTTTGAAATTTTCCAAATAAAATAAACAAAAAGGAAAAAAAAAAAGTAAAAGTAGTTGAGTTTATAGTGGAGGGGCAATTTTGTTAATAAATATTTCAATACTCAATTTTGTAGAATTTATTTGCAAATTCCATCAATTTTAGTAGAATTCTATCAATTTTAGTAGAATTTGAGTTAGACATACCCAATTTCACAAAATTCATTTTGTTGAATTCAAATTCATATTTTTTTTATTTCAAATATAATATTTTGAATTTCTGAATGAATTTCATAAAATTTTGTGAAATTCATTTATTCTAAATGGGCTTTTAATGAGATTAGAAGAACACAAAATGATTTATTTGCCTAACCATCTCTTTTCCGGTTCTCCTTTTTTTTTTTTTTTTTTTTTTTTTTTTTTTTTTTTTTTTTTTTTTTTTTTTTTTTTTTTTTTTTTCAAATCACTTCCTTTACTGTATTATCTTTTATTTTAATTTAATTTTTTTTAATGATTTTCAGATTTATATTTATTTGGAACGATCATAAGATTAGTCTTCAAATAATATTCCTATTTTTTTTGCTCTTTTCACAGGGTTATTTTTTCTTCTTGAGGATTATTTTTTTAGTATTCATATAATTGAAATCTACAGATTTATATATATATATATATTTTTTTGGATTGCTGTCTATACACGGTCTAGTCCGGTTCCAACATCTGCCGGTTGCCGGTCCAATATAATAAGATCCTATCAGAGAGAAGAAGAACAATCGTATAGAGTAGAAAATTTGGTTGTGTAAAGCTTCAAATTTGATCTCAATTTCCCACACAAAGGAGCTCTTTCCCTCTTTGTATAAATTCACCAATAGAAAGAGCTCCTTTTACTGTCCCATTTTATAGTATATAATCCAAATTAGGGTTTTAGATTTCACCGATTAGATATAGATTAACCAGACAACACCATGTCTAATCGATCTTCCAGCACTCAGTTGAAGAACGGTGGCCTCCCTCCTCAAGAACTCCTCGATGATCTCTGCAGGTTTTCTCCTTCACTTTCTTTCACTTCTTATATGTTAGAATTTGTGGATTTGTAGTTTTAGGAAGTGAATTTCTATTTGAGTTGTTTTGAATTGAGTTGATTCAGTCTGGA